CTCCCCACTCGCTGTCCCAGACTACCACCTCTCTCCCCACTCGCTGTTCCAAACTACCACCCTCTCTCCCCACTCTCTGTTCCAGACTACCACCCTCTCTCCCCACTCGCTGTCCCAGACTATCCCCTCTCTCCCCACTCGCTGTCCCAGACTACCACCTCTCTCCCCACTCGCTGTTCCAAACTACCACCCTCTCTCCCCACTCTCTGTTCCAGACTACCACCCTCTCTCCCCACTCGCTGTCCCAGACTATCCCCTCTCTCCCCACTCGCTGTCCCAGACTACCACCTCTCTCCCCACTCGCTGTCCCAGACCACCACCCTGTCTCCCCACTCGCTGTCCCAGACCACCACCCTCTCTCCCCACTCACTGTCCCAGACCACCACCCTGTCTCCCCACTCGCTGTCCCAGACCACCACCCTCTCTCCCCACTCACTGTCCCAGACCACCACCCTCTCTCCGCACTCGCTGTCCCAGAACACCACCCTCTCTCCCCACTCGCTGTCCCAGACTATCCCACCTTTTCTCCTTCTCAGTGTTCCAGAGTTGTCTCCATAAATCCCTACCTGATTAATCTCGATCTTTGTAACTGCAAATCTCAATTCCAGAATTACAACCCGACTATCCCTTTCTCTTGATCCCAATCTCTGACCTCCAATGTCTGTACTTTAAATATTCCCTAGTTTTTTTTTGTCCCAGATAACACAGGCTTGATCCCATCACTGATTCACTTGCTCCTTGTCAATCCCGAAAACATCTTTCATCTTTAAATCGGTTTTACCCTAATAATCCCCACTCCCTTCAACACTTTCTATCTGCGCGTTACTATCGCCTCATTCCATCCTCATCTCTTCTCCCTGGCCTCCGACCTGGTATATCCCGGGAGTGATCCTGGGAAAGAGCGGAATAGTTTGTTCCCAGTTTCTGTCAGCCCCTCTCCCGTTGCAATCCCCGATCCTGCACCAATTGACCTGGACGACTCTCTATCCCTGTTTTAAAAAAAAACCTTTTTTCTCTCACCAGTTCGGATTTCAGCCACTCCAGAGCCTTCTCCATATCCATCGTCTGGCCCTGGGCCTGCGGCTCCCATTCGGGACCAGAGCAGCTCTGCCGTTTCCAGAGGGCGGGCGGGCTGCTCCTGCCTCCCCCGCCCGGGAACCTGCCAGGTTTGCTGGAGAAATCCTTCAGTTTGATCAGCAGCAAGTCCATGTTGGGGGAGCTTCTCTCTGGCAGCCGGCCTGAGAGAGCGGCTACTGGGGAAGCTGGCGTCTGTGTGTCTGCCAGTTCACCCGCTGCGGGCATCGACACAGACAGATACAGATACACACAAACACACTCAGACACAAGTACACTCACACACAAATCCAGAGATACTCAGACACACTGACACAAACACACACAGACACGAACACACACACACACACTCAGACGCACAGACACACTCAGACACACTGACACAAACACACACACTCAGACACAGACACAAAGACACACTCTCACACTCAGACACACAGACACAAACACACACACACTCCGACACACAGACACAAACACACACACAGACACACACAGACACAAACACACACAGACACAGACACACTCAGACACACACTCAGAGACAAACACACACACACTCAGACACAGACACAAACACACACACACACTCAGACACACAGACACAAAGACACACTCAGACACAGATTCAGAGACTCACACACACCTAGACACAGAGGAACAGGAATATCGGCACTGTCAGGCAGATCCTGCTCTCTCTCTCAAAGGTCCTCCATTGCAAGGGCTCTGGGAACCAGATTTAGTGGCGACATCGAACCCAACCGTGTCCCTGTGCTGTACACATCCACCTTCACAAAGTTCAGCTGAAAGCCAAGGCGCCGCCTCAGTGACTCAAAACCCTGCCAGAACAGCCCTTTGTAATAATTTCCTGAATTTACTGATAGGCGTGACTCGCCCCGGTAACTCCCCAGGATCTCACGAAAACATGTCAGTATTAACCAAGTTCTCACCAGAGTCTTGAGTCGTGTAGAGAGATTGAAGGTATCGAGATTGTTTCCCTTTTCGACCAGGGAAAGTGAAGGGGGAATTTGATAGAGATATTCAAAAATGTTGGAGGGCTCTTGTGGTATAGTGGTAGTATCCCTACTTCTGATCCAGGATTCAAGGCCCACCAGTTCCAGAGGTGTGTAAAACATGTCTGAGCAGATTGATTAGCAAAACATCAAACATTTCAAGTAGTTTTGAGTGCCCAAAATTGTTTTTATTAATGTTTAATGATAATTAGCGAAAGAACCAAAGGGAAAATGGGGAGATCACTAGTGACGCCAGAGGATTGGAGAATTGGAAACGTTATACTCTTCCTCATAAATAGGCATAAACATAACTACAAGCTAGTCTTTCCTCGATGGTGGGGAAGCTTTTCAAAAGGATAATGCAGGACAATGTTAATGGTCAGTTGGGTAATTTAATCCAGTGTGGATTTGTTGGGGGCAAATCCTGTTTAATTAACTGGCTGGCATTTTGTTTTGAAGTGGTGCCAGGGAGAGTTGATCTGGGTCACAAACAAAGACAGAAATTGCAAGGAAACAGTTCTGAAAAGGGATCACTGGACCAAAAACCTTAACCCTGTTTTCTCTCCACAGAGGTGGCATGGTGGCACAGTGGTTACCACTGCTGCCTCAAAGCACTAGGGACCTGGGTCTGATTCCACCCTCAGATGAGTATCTGTGTGCAGTTTGCACGTTCTCCCAGTGCCTGCGTGGATTTGTCCCGGGTGCTCTGGTTCCCTCCCACAGTCCAAAGATGTGCAAGTTAGGTGGATTGGCCATGCTAAATTACCCATACTGTTCAGGGATATGTGGGTTAGGTGCGTTAGAACTGGGAAATATAGGGGATGGGTCTGGGTGGCATGTTCTTTGGAGGGTCAGTGTGGACTCAAGCTGGATGGTGTGTTTCCACACTGTAGGGATTCTATGCTATAGGATGTTGTCAGACCTGCTGAGACTTTCCTGCAATTTCTTTTTTGTTTCTGATTTACAGCATCTACAGTTCTTTTTTATTGTTTACAGTTGATGTGATATACATGGACATCCACAAGGTGTTCTATACAGTGCCACACAACAAGTTCCTGAGTAAAAACAGAATTCATGGAATAAAAGGGACAGGTGCAACAGGCATATAAATGCATGAGTGACAGGAAACGTTAATGGTTTAGTGGATTTTTTTTGGAGTTGGAGGGGGTTTGTAGTAGAGTTCCTAAAGGCTCTTGCTTTTTCTGGTATATATTATTGACCTAGACTTTGGTGTATCGAGGTAAAATTTCAAACTGACAGGAGGACAGTGTGAGAATCCAAAGGGACATTGAGAAGTTGGCGGATTGGGCAGTGAAGTGACTGATGAAGTTCAATGCAGAGGAGTGTGAGGTGCTGCATTTTCATAGAATAGAATCCCTGCAGTGTGGAAGCAGGCCATTCAGCCCATCAAGTCCATACTGACCCTCCAAAAAGCATTTCACCCAGATTCACATCCCTTACCCTATTCCCTTACCGTGCCTTTCCCACGGCTAATCCACCTAACCTACACATCCCTGGACTACAGGCACTTTACCATGGCCAATCCACCTAACCTGCACATCTTTGGACTGTGGGAAGAAACATGGGGAGAATACGCAAAATCCACACAGACAGTCATCTGGGAGTGGAATCAAACACGGGTCCCTGGTCCGTGCAATTGAAAATAAAATTTGCAATTCTGAAGGGGTGTAGAAGATGTGGGATTTGGGTGTATATGTGCATAAGTCACTGAAGCTGGCAGAACAGATGGCCAGAGTAGTTAATAAATAATGGGATATCCTCAGATTTTGTAATCAGGACTTGCAGTGCAAGAACAAAGCGATTATTTTAAATTAATACAAAACACAGGTTTGGTCACAGTTGGGAGTATTGCATCTAGTTCCAGGCACCCACTTTATGAAGGATGTGAAGGCATTGAAGAGAGCACAGAGAATAGTCTTGGGGTAAAGAACTTAAGGTGCGTGGGGAGATTGAAGAAGTTGGGAAAGTTTTCCTTGGAGAAGGGAAGGTTCAGAGGAGATTTAATGGAGCTATTCAAGATCATCATGAATTTGGACAGAGTAGATAGGGAGAAATTGCTCCCACTTGTGAAAGGATTGAGTGGGCACAGATTTACATTATTCAGTAAAAAGAAGCAACGGTGAGACGAGGAGAAACTTTTCACTCAGTGAGTGAAAACGATCTAGAATGTACTGCCGTGTGTGGTAGAGGCAGGTTAAATGAAGGCATTCAAGAAGGTATTTGATTATTATCTGAAAAGGAAGAATGTGTAGAGTTATGAAGAGAGATACTGCGTGCACTACACACTTGGGGAACCAGTGCAAACACAAGGAAACAATTGGTCTCCTGTTTTGTAAAGATACTGTTTTTATACAGAGAGTTTTTGTGATCTGGAATGCACTGCTCGAAAAGGCCGTGGAAATAGACACATTACTGGCAATATAAATTTTGAAATGTAACACCAACACCAATCTAAAGGTTTCCTTTTCAGTCGTGGAATATTTCTGTTGATGAGTATTCAATTTTATAGAAAAATACCCAATAGGTCTTTCTATCTTCTCATCGTCTTCTTCTAAGAGTACAGCACTGACACCCACATCACTTGCATCAATAGCCACCTTGAATGGCTTTGCATAATTAGATATGGCTAACACTCAGGCAGTTGTTGACACAGCTTTCAGGATATGAAATGTCTTCTGACAGTCCACTGTCCCATGAAATTTTCTGCACTTCTTCAGTAAGTCAGTCATGGAGCAACCACACGGCTAAAATTTGGTATGAACTTCCGATAAAACCCCAGGAATCGTAGTACTGCCCTCTTCGTCGATGGTATGGGAGACTCCCCAATTATCTTTGTTTACACATCCCATGGGGCCGTCTGTCCATGTCAGATAATATGGCTCAGGAACGTGACTTGGGCTTTTGTGAATTAACTCGTAGCCAGGCTGATCACCAAGCCTGCCTCCCAAAGCCATTCAAACAACTCCAATAGATGCTGCAAATGTTCCTTCCATGTGTGACTAAAAATCACCTGGTCATTGGTGTACACCACCCAATTGGGTAATCCAGAAGTGACTTTATTGGTTAGTCTTGACCTGAGGAAGGAGCACTGCTCCAAAAGCTTGTGATTTCAAATAAACCTGTTGGACTGTAACCTGGTGTTGTGTGACTTCTGAAATAGTCCAGCCCAGTCCAAAACCGGCACCTCCACATCATCGCCAGAACTGATCAGCGGAGTGAGGAAGAACCCAGTGTCAAGGAACAGTGAGCCCCAAACATTATATTACTGTAGAATTTCCATCCTTCCCTCCTCTTGTAACCAATAAAAAGAGGAGAGAGAGATTAAGAGAGGCTGTTAGGAAGTTTGTTGTAGCCTAGAAGGTATTTGGTCTGTTTGTAAAGATTGCATTGTAATTTAAGTAACCAGTTAGTGCTGTTGGTTGGTATAAGTGCAGGCTTAGGTGAAAACTGGGCTTCAGTGAGTAAGGTGAGCAAGATAAAGGTTAGTTAAGATTCTTTTATCTTTTTTAGTGTAAAGAGGCAGAGATGGCAGTTAGGGCAGTGGTGTACTCCTGCTGCCAGTTGTGGGAGATCAGGAAGCAGTCTGTTGTCCTTGATGACTATGTCTGCAGGAAGTGTGACCGTCTGCAGCTCCTCACAGACTGTTTGGTTGGAGCAGCAGTTGGATACACTGAGGAGCATACAGGGGACAGAGAGTATGATAAACACTAGTTACGGGGAGGTGGTCACACCACAGATTCAGTCAGGTCAATGGGTGACTGCCAGGAGAGGCAGGCTGGTAGTTCAGGAGTCTCCTGTGGATATTCCCCTCTCTAACAGGATTACCATTTTGGATACTGTTGGGGGGATAGCCTCTCAGGGGAGTATAACAGCAACATCCAGGCCTGTGGCACCATAACTGTCTCTGCTGTAGAGCAGGATCGAGCAAAGTCCAAGTGAGCGATAGTGGTAGGAGTCTCGTGAGTTAGGGGCACAGGCAGGCATTTCAGTGGCTGCCTTCGAGACTCAAGGATGGTGTGTTGACTTCCTGGTACTAGGATTAACAAGGTCTCTGAGCAGTTTTTGAGGGGGAGAGGGAGCAGCCAGAGATTGTTGTGCACATTGGTACCAACGACATAGCTAGAAAGAGGGGTGGGGTCATACAGAGTGAGTACAGGGAGTTAGGAAAGAGGCTGAAAAGCAGGGCCTCAAGGGTAGTAATCTCTGGGTTATTACCAATGTCACATGCAAATGAGGCAAGGAACAGAAAGATTGGACTGATTAATGCATGGCTAAGGAGCTGGTGCAAGGGGCAGGATTT